TGTTCGCCTGCTCATTATGCTTTCATCCAGTCCTGAGTTAGAGTTTGTAGCATCTAAGTCCTAGACTTACAAGTTAGTGGGATCAGTCAAAGAAGTCACAGCCCTGAGTTTGCAAGTCTTGATTAGGGCTGTCAATAGCAAGGAGACTTTTTGGTCTCTCGTTCAAGGGTTGTCTTAAATCAAAGTTGATTTGAAGGCAATTAGCCATTAAATTAAGTAAACTTCCAAAAGCTCACCGTGTGATTATTTTCTTCATGGCAACCTGTGCCATGACAATTATGTAGGGACTGCTGAAAATTCTGTCAGTTGAACTGTATTTTTTCTGAATTTTGGCCAAACTACACTGACATGACAAGGTAGCATTTTGGAATATTAGCCTGTCCGTGCTAAGCCCACTTCCCTACAATTAGTGCGTATGATGAAATAGTGTTCCAGGCACATACAGGTTAAGCATTGACTGAAATACGCTACTGACCCAGTTGCACTTGTACTTGAAAGCTTCATTATAAAAATAAGGTAACGGGCCCCTTCTTTCATTCTGACTTCACAGCAATAAAAGGGTGATTGTTCAAGCTACAGCATTCAATTATTTTGTCTCTGATGCTATCTACATGTAAGAAAATATAGCCTTGCTTTGTGGGTCTCTCTCAGCAATTTTCCATGCTGCTCTTCAGAGTCAAAATGCAGGGGGAGTAAATAGGGTTCTTGGAGACTCCCTGCTTCTTTGAGATATAACAAGGCTAAGATAATTCAGCTAAGTGGTAAAAATTATTCCCTTAGCTCTGTGGCTGCTACTGAACGTCACTGATGTGCTGCACTTCCTGGAATTGGTTTTGCAAAGATTTGTCTTCTGGCAGGGGAGGGAACTTTATAAATTAAGAATGCTACCTAGGGGTGCAGTTTGAAAGAATTTCAAAATGGATTTCAAGCATGTAGCTCTTATTTCATCAAACTAAAATGCAACATGGGAATCAGGTAGAAAACGGCACCTGGTGGAATAATTGTCTTTGATATGTTTAAGGAAGCTACATTAACTCTGGCAGATTTACTAATTTTAAGGAAGAGAAGGCTATGAAAAATATGTGTGAAATTTCCTTTTTTCCTTCTGGGGAAAAAACAAAGGAATGGTTGCTTTGTTCTAAATGCAATTTACTTTTGTAGTCTAAACAAGCAGTGGCCCTGGTACTCAAACCACAAAGCAGATACTGTGGGGAATAAATTGTTTCTGTAACAAACCTTTTGACTGGAGGGGTGGGGGGGGGGGGGACTTCCACAGTGGAATTATATTCCACCATTTGCCATTTGTTATAAGGTGAACTTCACAAGTGTATTATACTTTGTCTCCTACATTGAGTGTTAATGCATGGCAAACAATAAGCAGGGCACATGCATGACAAATAGTAGCAGGAGGCATTCCACAGATCTCTAAAAAAGGTGCATCTACGTTGTAATATAAATGCAATTCGACAACACTTTAACTGTCATAACTCAGTGCTCCCAAATTCCAGTCCAACACTCTGTTACAACCACATTTAAGTTTGCAGGCTTGAATACAAGCAGTCCCCAAGTTATCAACAAGATAGATTCTGTAGGTTTGTTCTTAAGTTGAATTTGTACATAAGTCGGAACAGGTACATTGTACAGTATAACTCCAGCCAAGTATGTGGATGTTTGTGTGTATATATATACACAGAGAGACTTGGCTGGAGTTCCTTTTTCCTTCCATTTTCCACAGCATCATTATCTTCTCCAAGCTTTCCTATCTTCTCATTGTGTGGCCAAAGTACTTCATCTTTGCCTCTAATATCCTTCCCTCCAGTGAGCAGCTGGGCATTATTTCCTGGAGTATGGACTGGTTGGATCTTCTTGCAGTCCAAGGCACTCTCGGAATTTTCCTCCAGCACCACAGTTCAAAAACGTCTATCTTCCTTCGCTCAGCCATCCTTATGGTCCAGCTCTCACATCCATAGGCTACTATGGGGAATACCATTGCTTTAATGATGTGGATCTTCATTGCCAATGTGATGTCTCTACTCTTCACAATTTTATTGAGACTGGTCATTGCTCTCCTTCCAAGAAGTAAACGTCTTCTGATTTACTGACTGCAGTCTATGTCTGCAGTCATCTTTGGGCCTAGAAATACAAAGTCTGTCACTGTTTAATTGTCTTCTCCCTCTATTTGCCAATTATCAATAAATCTGGTTGCCATAATTTCATTGTTTTATGTTTAACTGCAACCCAGCTTTTGCACCTTGGTTAGAAGATTCCTTAGCTCCTTCTCACTTTCAGCCATCAAAGTGGTATCATCTGCATATCTAAGGTTGTTAATGTTTCTTCCAGCAATTTTAACTCCAGCCTTGGATTCATCAAGCCCCAATGTCACATGATGTGTTCTGCATACAAGTTGAATAGGTCGGGTGAGAGTATACAGCTCTGCCGTATTCAATCTTGAACCAATCTTGAATCAGTCTGTTGTTCCGTGGTCTGTTCTTACTGTTCCTACATGGCCATGAAACAGATTCCTCAGGAGACAAACAAGGTGGCTTAGTATCCCCATACAACCAAGAACTTGCCACACAATTTACTACGATCCACACAGTCAAAGGCTTTAGAATAGTCAATAAAACAGAAATTATCTAGCAGATAATTTCCATTTCTATAATACCAAAAACATGTGGAACAGGAGTTGTCAGAATTGCTCATATTGATTCAAATAGGATGACGTGGGCAAATGGGCTGTACTGTGGTGAACAGTCTTCTAACCAGTAGCAAGTTTGCAGTACTCTGCCATAAAATGTGGCGAATCAATCCATGTCGGATATATGAGAAATATCGCTAGCTTAGATCTTTAGAATGCAAATCTTTAACCAGCAAAAGTTCAAACTCTTGCAATATCGAAGCAAGACCCCTTTTTCAAAAAAGGGGAGATGATGGACAATCTGTTCATTTATCGGTTAAGGATGAAAACAATTACAGTAGAGTCTCGCTTATCCAACATAAATGGGCTGGCAGAACGATGGATAAGCAAAAATGTTGGATAATAAGGAGGGATTAAGAAAAAGCCTATTGAATGTCAAATTACATTATGAGTTTACAGATTAAGCACCAAAACATCATGTTTTACAACAAATCGACAGAAAAAGCAGTCCAATACACGGTAATGTTATGTAGTAATTACTGTATTTATGAATTTAGCACAAAAACACTGCAATGTATTGAAACAGCTGTGGATCCAAGCAGGAGGTGGACTGCGTTAGATAATACAGAACGTTGGATGACCGAAGGTGGGATAACCAAAGGTGTCAGGAAAAATTTTCTCAAATTGTTCCTGACACACACACACACACACAAATTAGAATTCCTTCTTTCAAAAGAGAGCACCAAAGCTTCCAGCAATGGGAAAAAACCCTTGGGGTGCATCTATGCCAAGCATGGGCAAACTTGGGCCCTCCAGGTGTTTTGGACTACTAGGCTGTTAGGAATTGTGGGAGTTGTAGTCCAAAAACACCTGGAGGGCCCAAGTTTGCACGTGCCTGATCTATGCTGTAGAATGAATCTACTTTAATTGCCTTGGCTCACTGCTATGGAGTCATGGGGTGGGGCTGGGGGGGGGGTGGCTATAGTTCGACAAGGTTTTGTGTCTTCTCTGCTGGTGCCTCAACAAACTACAAATCCTGGAAGGGCATAGCATTGAGCCCTGTGGCAATTTAGTTAGAGATGAAGTCCCTCAAAGAAGGGGCTCCAGGTGCAGCTCCTGAAGCAGTTTCCCCTTTTGCTTTGGCTCAGCACTAAGATTATGCATGAGGCAAATCTAATGTGCACCCCAATTACATGATGCTACTCATACACATTTGCAGGATAAGGTCCTAAGTTTGAGACCTTAAAGGACACTGGAAGAACCTAAGGCAGTGTTTCTCAACCTGGCAGTTGGGGGTGTCAGAGGGGTTGCCAAAGGCGATAAGAAAGCACAGTATTTTTGTTGGTCATGGAAGTTCCGTGTGGGAGATTTGGCCCAATTCTATTGTTGGCGGGGTTCAGAATGTTCTTTGACTGTAGGTGAACGATAAATCCCAGCAACGACAACTCCTAAAAGTCAAAGTCTATTTTCCCCAAACTCTTCCAGTGTTCTCATTTGGGCATATTGAGTATTTGTGCCATGTTTGGTCCAGATCCATCATTGTTTGAGTCCACAGTGCTCTCTGAATGTAGGTGAACGCAAGGCCAATGCCCACCAAACCCTTCCAGTATTTTCTGTTGGTCATGGGAGTTCTGTGTGCCAAGTTTAGTTCAAATTCATCATTGGTGGAGTTCATAATGCTCTTTGATTGTAGGTGAACTATAAATCCCAGCAAGTACAACTCCTAAAAGTCAAGGTCTGTTTTCCCCAATCTCCACCAGTATTCACATTTGGCCATATTGAGGATTTTTTTGGTCCAAAACTATAATTGTTTGAGTCCACAGTGCTCTCCAGATGTAGGTGAACTACAACTCCCAAACTCAAGGCCTATGCTCACCAAATGCTTCTAGTATTTTCTGTTGGGAGTTCTGTGTGCCAAGTTTGGTTCAATTCCATTCTTGGTGGAGTTCAGAATGCTCTTTGATTGCAGGTGAACTACAAATCCCAGGAACTACACCTCCCAAATGACAAAATCAACCCATTCCCCAACCCCACCAGTATTCAAATTTGGGTGTATTGGGTGTTTGTGCCAAATTAGGTCCAGTGAATGAAAATATGCATATCAGATATTTACATTATGATTCATAACAGTAGCAAAATTACAGTTTTGAAGTAGCAAGGAACATGTTATGGTTGGGGGCTCACCACAACATGAGGAACTGTATTAAAGGGTTGTGACAATAGGAGGGTTGAGAACCACTGGCCTGAGAGTTGTTCAGGACGCTTTCTTTCAGCGAGGAGGGCGGGAAACAAAACTGAAGGAGGGGAGGCGTGAGGAGGGCTCTTCTTGCCTTCTCTCCCCCCTCTTGATGGACCCAGGAGCCGGAGGGAGGGGGCAAGGAAGGCGGCCTCTCCCCTCCCCGCCTTCTTTCCTCAGTCCCTGCAGCTCTGCCCCCTTGAGAGAGTCCTAAGGCTGCACGCCACAAGCGCCCCTTGAGTTTGCCTTTCCCGGCTGGGAGAAGCGTGGCCCTGGCTGGCGCTGGAAGAGGAGGAGGAGGAGGCTGGGCTGAAGATGGAGCCCCCGCCTCGTGAAGCCCCCCGCCGTCCACAGGAGGAGGATGAGGAGCGGCCCCGCTCTCCCCCGGTGACCACCACCGCCAGCTCCTTCTCCGCCGGCTTCCCCTCAGGCTCCAGCAGCCTCGCCTACGACAAGGAGTTCCTCAGGACGCCGCCCGGGATCCTCATGGTGGCCGAGATTGTGAGTTCCCCTCAGGAGACCCTCCTGCGCGCCTATTTATTTATCCTATCAGGATGTGTTTGAGAAAACAAAGTATGAAAACTTGGTATTCTATTAAATGTCCTCTGATCTGTAGCTGGCCACTTGGAGTGCCTCCTGTGTTGCTCTAAGAAGGTCCTCCATTGTGCATGTGGCAGGGCTCAGGTTGCATTGTAGTAGGTGGTCTGTGGTTTGCTCTTTTCCACACTCACATGTCATGGACTCCACTTTGTGGCCCCATTTTTTAAGGTTGGCTCTGCATCTTGTGGTACCAGAGCCTAGTCTGTTCAGTGCCTTCCAAGTTGCCCAGTTTTCTGTGTGCCCAGGAGGGAGTTTCTTTGGTATCAGACATTGATTGAGGTTCTGGGTTTGAGCCTGCCACTTTTGGACTCTTGCTTGTCGAGGTGTTCCAGCGAGTGTTGCTGTAGATCAGGGGTCCCCAAACTTTTTAAACAGAGGGCCAGGTCACAGTCCTTCAAACTGTTGGAGAGCCAGATTATAATTTACAAAAAAACATGGATTCCTATGCACATTGCACATATCTTATTTGTGGTGCAAAAATACTTTAAAATACAACAATTAAAATGAAGAACAATTTAAACAAATATAAACTTATTAGTATTTCATTGGGAAGTGTGGGCCTGCTTTTGATGAGATAGGATTGTTGTTGTTGTTGTTGTGTGCTTTCAAGTAGTTTCAGACTTAGGTTGACCCTGAGCGAGGGCCGGGTAAATGACCTTGGAGGGCCGCATCCGGCCCCCAGGCCTTAGTTTGAGGACCCCTGCTGTAGATCTTAGAAAACATGAAAAAAACCTCTTCGTAGACAACTGATTCTCTCATTCCAGAAGCTACTTGCAGCATGTACATTTGGTGAGGCACCAGTACTCTTTGGCAGAGAATGCTAAACACCTTCTAACGATTCATTTATCGCAGGGATCATAGAATCATAGAGTTGGAAGAGACCTCATGGGCCATCCAGTCCAACCCCCTGCCAAGAAGCAGGAAAATTGCATTCAGAGCACCCCTGACAGATGGCCATCCAGCCTCTGTTTAAAAACCTCCAAAGAAGGAGCCTCCACCACACTCCGGGGCAAAGAGTTCCACTGCTGAACGGCTCTCACAATCAGGAAGTTCTTCCTCATGTTCAGATGGAATCTCCTTTCCTGTAGTTTGAAGCCACTGTTCCGCGTCCTAGTCTCCAGGGAAGCAAAAAACAAGCTCCCTGTGGCTTCCTCTCACTTATTTATACATGGCTATTACATCTCCTCTCAGCCTCCTCTTCTTCAGGCTAAACATGCCCAACTCCTTAAGCCGCTCCTCATAGGGCTTGTTCTCTAGACCCTTGATCATTTTAGTCACCCCCCTCTGGACACATTCCAGCTTGTCAATATCTCTCTTCAGTTGTGGTGCCCAGAATTGGACATAGGCAGAATAGAGGGGTAGCATGACTTCCCTGGATCTAGACACTATGCTCCTATTTATGCAGGCCAAAATTCCATTGGTTTTTTAAGCCTCAGCATCATATTGTTGGCTCATGTTTAACTTGTCCACAAGGACTCCAAGATCTTTTTTAATTAAGAGCCACATCCTCTGCTTTAGCATGGTGAGATGTGTTCCATACTGGGCATGCGTACTCAACAGCAGAGTAGCATAGTGGAATGCAGATGTCTTCACAGTATCTGGTTGTGATCCTCAGGTTGTGCCAGTCAGCTTTCGTATGATATTGTTTCTAGCGCCCACTTTTTGCTTGATATTCAGGCAGTGCTGCAAACATGTATGGTGGGGACGAGGGACAGGGCCTTCTCGGTGGTTGCCCCCCGCCTGCGGAATTCACTTCCTGGGGAAATTAGGTCATCATCATAGTAGTAATTCCCAAAAATTTTGGTGTGCTGCAATACTCCAGTGGGATTCCTTCCCTGGTAATCCACAGAGCTTGAGATGCCTGTCTGTTCTTAAAATGAAAATCACATGTCTGTGTTTTAGATGGAATCAGCTGGTTTTCCCTGTAATAGGCAGTAAGTGCACCTAAAGCTTTGGAGAGCTTCTGTTCAACCATTTCAAATCTCTGCTTGAGCGCTGATGGCACGATTGTCAGCATAAATGAAACTCTCTGTCCCATCTGACAGTGGCTGATCATTTTTGTACATGTTGAACATTCAGATTATCTGCATTGAACTGGATTATATGGCAGTGTAGACTATTATCATCATCATCATTATTATTATTATTATTATTATTATTATTATTCTGCTTTATCTCCCCTGAAGGAGATTCAAAGAGGCTATAATCCATTTTTCATATAATCCAGTTCAAAGCAGATAATGTGGATTATCATCTTTGATAGTCTGAATTATATGATAGTATAGAAGTGGCCTAGGAGATTGCATATTGCCATCTTTTACCAAAAGGAATGAACCCCCAGCATCAAAGTTTGTTTGTTAAAAAATGCAATACAGCTGTTTGGTTTGCTTCTGACACGATAAATAAATAGCATCAAAATGTTTAAAAAGTCAAAAATGAGTGTATACAACAAAGAGGACCACTGAAAGTTAAAGGCTGCTATTTGTCTTGATGTAGAATATCTAATATGTCTGACTTGCAGTCATTACCTGAAGGACTAGAAGAGAAGCACTCTGTGCATGCTCAGATGCTGTCCCATTGTGGTTCAAAAATGCTAAGGCGCTGAAAAGAGGTCCTGAAACTTGATACAACAAGCAACAAATGGAACATTTGTTTCAAGATCTTAGAGTAATTTTCGAAGAGGTAGTTGCATTGCTCAGTTCCAGAAAAAAATAGAAAAAGTCTAAACTAGAGACACCTTAAAGACTCTTAAATGTTTATTGTGGCATGCATTTCCATGGACAATGGCTTACTAACAGACAACAGTGTTCTCAATCTAGATGCTTTGATCTACAGGTCCACCACTCCCATTGAGCATTGTCACTGAATTATGGGAGTTGCAGTCCAATAAACAGTCTGAAGGGGTGTTTGTTGTTCCCCACCCTTGCTCTACTGCAAAAGTGTTTTTGCATAATAAGTGTAATATGTACGCCAGAGGTGTATCTACTACACTGTAGAAATAATGCAATCCAACTCCACATAAAACTACAAATCCTGGGATTCCATAGACTGAGCCATGGCAGTTAAGTGGTGTCAGATTGCATTATTTCTACAGTATAGCTCAGGCATGGGCAAACTTTGGCCCTCCAGATGTTTTGGACTTCAACTCCCACAATTCCTTACTTAGTTACGTAAGTCAGTAAGTAATTTGTCCATAAGTAAGTAAGTAATTTTTCCTTCTACTGCCATCCTTAGAAACTTCATCTCCCTCATTTTGTGGAGAATTCATTCAACCCAGGCAGAGCTAGAAGATGCCCTTAGGGAATGGAGGATGGTTCATTTCCTCAGCTTATCCTAATGAAAGCCCTGGGGAGATTTTTACCTTGGGTCTGACTTCCTGTAGTTCTGCTGAAACAAAAGGGACTAAATAGTGAATGGTGGTGTAAGATGAAGAGATGATTGCTGTGAATAATGGATCACCAGAGGCTACACTGAAATCCTGGTGTCAGGTGAATGCTGAGTAACTAAAGCAAAGGGACCCCTTTTTAACATTTGTGGCAGACTTTATCCTATGCAAACATTTTTGTTCCGGTGGCCACTATCTCATTCTCTTAAGCTTTGAGTAATGAAAAGGAGAAAAGCTGCCCAGGAATGCAGCTATCACTCAGGAATCCATTCCAAGAATGTTTTGTTGGAAGAGAACAGCTGGGGAGAGAGATGGAAGTGTTCTGAATAATTTGTTATCAGGCGTGTGTAGTGTAATCTAAGTTGGGTGTAAACTACTTGTGTCACAGGTGGCATTTGTGTTACCAACCCCTGTTTTATTATATTTATTAAATGACTCAATGTCCTGCTTTTCCATCATTAGTAACAACCAAATCGGAGGGAAAGAAAGAAATCTCCAAGGGAACAGGATTCAGACATCAGTGTGTCATACTTAAACATTTATTTGTCATAACAAAATTGTGAAATGTGTGTTTTTAAAAAAACATTTGCACCAAAAAGACATACAAGATTTAAATCGTTTACTTTTTGGATGACAATGGCCAATGTACTCTGTGGCACTGTTTCTTAAACTGTGGCTCCTGGCCACAGATGGGGTCCCCCAGGTCAATGCTGGGATCACATAGTCTAACTTTACTGGGAAATGCATTGTTGAGGGGTTGCTGTGAGTTTTCCGGGCTGTATGGCCAGTAGCATTCTCTCCTGATGTTTCGCTCACATCTATGGCAGCTATCCTCAAAAGTTGAAAGGTCTGTTGGAAACTAGGCAAGTGAGGTTTATATATCTGTGGAATGTCCAGAGTGGGAGAAAGAACTCTTGTCTGATTGAGGTAAGTGTGAATATTGCAATTGGCCACCTTGATTCACATTGAATGGCCTTGCAGCTTCAAAGCCTGGCTGCTTCCTGCCTGGCGGAATCCTTTGTTAGGAGGTGTTAGCTGACCCTGGTTGTTTCATGTCAGGAATTCTCCTGTTGTTTTTTTTAGTGTTGTTCTTTATTTGTTCATTTTCATGGTTTCCTCCTTTCTGTTGAAATTGTCCGCATGCTTATGGATTTCAGTGGCTTCTCTGTGTAGTCTGATATGGTGGTTGTTAGAGCGGTCCAGCACTTCTGTGTTGTCAAATAATATGCCACGTCAACGTTGTTTCATCAGGTTCTCTGCTATGGCTTAGTTCTGTAGACCCACTAAGAAAATCCAACAAATGCTACATTCAGCAAAGGACAAGAGGGAACTTCTAACCTCTGCAGGAGTCTACTGTATACTATGTATACTATGCAGCTGTAGACAAGTCTACATAGGGACCACCAAACATAGCACCCAAACACAAATCAAGGAACATGAAAGGCACTGCAAACTAATTCAACCTTAGAAGTCAGGCATAGCGGAGCACCTGATGATTGAAATTAAATGGTATCTT